AAAAAAAAAAAAAAGGAAAAAAAAAAAAAAAAAAAAAAAAACATTTGATCTTTACAAGGCTAATTCTCATCCAGCTCTGACAACTGCCTGTTTTCTTGAATACCAACTTCTGAAATACTGAAAACCAGACCTTGTGTGTTATCACTCTGCTAGAAAAAAATCAAAGCACAGCTCTGACTGGAACCTGACTAGATATTGAAAAGTTACATTTACATAATACCCTAAGAGATTCGCAAAGTATGGCTCTGCTGGTGAACGGGCCTCGGTGAAATACAATTTTACATTCTTGCATGAGTGTGAATTTAGTCTGGTTCAGTGTTTACTATTCAGGGGGAAATCTCATTAAAATGTATGAGCTGGCAGCATAGGTGAAGCCATTGCCATCTGTCATTGGGATCCGTACACCTGTAGGCTCGGGGTATAATGCTGAGGCTGTGGTTGGGAGGGGAATGTGCTGGAAAACTGGCTCTCCCCCAGACTGGTCTGAACCAGCTCTGCCTGGTGAAGCCCAAACCACGTGTTCTGTTGCTTGAGGAGGAGGCTGGTTAGTTGCACAGTCCTGGTGGAAAGGTAGGAATATCACCAGCACGCTACCTAGCACAGAGGAAGTGTTCAGTAAAAATGCAGTTATGGAGCAAAGTGATGGACAACCTTTGTAAGACAGGCTGGTGCTGCCACCTTAGTAGGCTCTTCAATTCTGGGTCATCTGGGTCTAAAAAGGAGCTTTTTATCTCTGTCTATGCTTACGCATCAAAGTGAACCTCTGTTCCTGTCTTTCAAGGTGTAGATGGCTTAGGAGAAAGAACTTGGATCATTACTACCCAAGGCAAGTCTATTTTAGGTGAGCTCTCCTCCCTTCCCCACTTTTTTTTAGTAATTATTGCTAATCTGGAAGGAGGCCATGAAATTGTTGCAAGTACACAACCTCCTTCAGCTTTGAGTTGGTTAATTCAGTATATAGCTTATGGCCATGACCCACAATTCATATTGTATTTTCATTTCAATTGAATTTAGCTGCATTGTTTTAAGGATTCTACATAGTGACCACTGGGGAAAAAATCGCTAAGTTTATCCGGAAGGCCATGTTATTTACCCATTATCAAAAGCAGCATGGAAGTGGCTGCCATGTTTCCTCAGCAGGGTTTAGACAAATGCATTCATGGATTATCTGTGAACAGAGTTGACCCTAGATTGTGAGGTGGGAAACATCTGATTGAAACCCTCTCTCATTGCCTCCCTTAGTCAAATGATGTCACAAAAATAATTTAATTAAGATCATCAATGCCAAACTCCCTCTTTTAAAATATTTGCAGGGCAAAAAGGGGCTGTGTTATAGGTGGGCCTTTTGTAAACTCATCCCAGTAGGAAGCCAGCTAACATGACACACTAAGAAGCACAGATTTCTGTAGCTTCAGCTTCATGATATTTATAATCTGGCCTAAGAGCTTCCAGCATCTTTGCCGGGTTCTGAAATGATGTAGTAAATCTAAATTCCCCAAAAGACACCTGAAATGCATATTGAACTCATGCTGACAGAATCCTATTGACAGTTTTGTTACCTGTGTGGGTGACAGTGAGTTAGGTTTACTTACATCTTGTACGACAGGGACAAAATTCATAGTGACCTGACTGGATAGGAAAGGTCAGTCCTAGCTAAAAGTCCTGATCAGTTTTAGGATTCTAAGTGCAAGAGGCTCCCCACCCAACCCCCTGTCCTGGTCCTTCTTCTCCCTAAAGAACCTCACTGAAAATCTCTCACTAAAGCCCTGTTTATCCAGTTAATGAGCTGCCAGGATAATCTGTCCTCCAAAACAAGTAATAACCTAATAAATGCCTGAATGTAGAGAGGATTTACTGAGGTAAAATTACCCTGAAAACCATTCTTAGTCTTCTGAGAGCTCTTTCTAAAGCATTAGGTTTATGACGGCCATTCAGAAAGAAAAAAGTCAACTCTATTCTCTTAAAATGTTTCCTCAATGATGTGACTTATGGGTGGAGTATAAACTGGTTTGACAGTGTTCTGTTTTAAGCTATTTGATGGAGAATTAGAGTTGTGTGATTTATAGACTGATAGCTGAAGCAAGAAGAGGCCCAGAATATCTTCTTAGTGACTTAAAGCTGACGTGACATTAACTACAAGAGAACTGCTGATTCCAGGAAGAGCTAATACTGCAAAGCTGGCTGAGGTACGCAGCAAACCACACATTACAGGGGCCTAGCCAGTGATTTGAAGTAGCATGTGCAATATTAGTTGTCCTGCA